CTGTCTTCCAGCATGATGGAAAAATACCCGACCTGTACGAGACGGTAAACAACTTGCAGAGAATCGGTGTTATTACAAATACCCACCCAAAAGTGGGTATTTATAAAAAATGATTTGATATTGTCGACGGCACAAAACTGCCGTGTAAACGTAGTGAAATGTTTGATATCGCGCTAGATTATAGAAAAAGAAGCAGAAGAAGAAGAGAAACAATAATATTACCTCACTTTCACAGTTTTGACTTTTGTACTTTGTCACAAATCTGAATAAAATGATAAAAAAGAAAGATCCAGCTTGGTCTTGATTTGATATTCGCGATAGAAAATAACACGTCGCCCCATCTGACGGCAACAACTGGAACACTTCTGATCGGTTTGTTTTGATGCTATGACCAATAAGCGCAAATAAAAAACAAATGTGAACCAATGAAAACAAAGTAAACAGGCCGCTTTGACAGCTTTCAAGAAGTATTTTCTATCGCGAATAGAAAGAAAAGGTGTTGAATGTAAGTACTGTTAAACCGAATACAAACCCAAATGTCAAGAAAATGCAAAAACATGTACTAAAAAAGTGTTATTTTGTTTTATACGAAGTTTTATAAGTGGGTAGTTTTTTCAAATATAGATTTTGTTGGTTATTGTGGTTTTTTGTCCAGGGTATCATTTCTGTAGTACCAGATAATCTTAACCAGATACCAGATCCCATACCACTAGTCGGTTTTGATGAGTTTTTGGAGAGTTGTTCAATCTGAACATTGGCTTTGTTAGAGGTTTTGGTTGTTTAGAAGGCTACCAAATTTAAAAACCTGTTTTAAGACATTGAACTTGCGAAAATAGTGTAATAAAGAGCAATTTTCCATGTTTTCTGTTGAAAAGTTCATAAATAAAAAAGATCCTTATAAATACCCAGCTCCTGGGTAAATACCATGGAACAAGTTATATAGAAAAAAAAATTTAAACTTTCACGATCTGTAGATCAGTAACAAAGAGTTTGCAGACAGTACATGGAAAAAAAGTCTTCGAGCTGAAAAATAAGTTCCTGAATTCTTGATACAGATTTTTGAAACACCCTGTATGAACAATTCACTTTGTAAATTATAATATCCAGTTCTTTAGATTCAACTTTCTACCAGATAAAGATCTTCCACTTGCCCAACCAACCAATGTGGTAGATATACCGGGTGACCCGGAACCAATTTACCCCCCTGTATCTTCGTTGTTATTTTGTATGGATGTTTCAAATTCGGTACTTCGATTTGATGTCATGAATGTACAATTTAGCAAGTAACAATCCAAATATGCCACTTCGGGTTTGACCGGAAGCGCATCCAATTTTTATATTTCGAATAGGATGTATTCTTTTTTTTTGAAAATTACATTTCGGTATAGAATTACCTTGACAATGGCATATCACAATCATACTTTCTTTCTACAATCTGCTGGTATAATTGACATTTTATAAAAAAAATACTTTTTGTGTTCCCCTCGTAACGGAACATTTTCATGAAAGTATGCTGTGGAAGATTGAACAATATCATGTAAGCAACATTAATTCAATCTTCCACAGCATACTTTCATGAAAATGTTCCGTTACGAGGGGAACACAAATAGTTATTTATTATACAAGGGAAAAAAGTAGTAGATTTTAGCTCACGGTTTTTTGTCTCCCTCCGCTACGCGTCGGGAGACAACACAACCAGTTTTCCCGTGTATAATACACTATTTTTTTGTGACAGAAGGAAGGATAAATCAATATTGAGAAGATATTACATTATTTCGAAATCTGAAAATTATCGACGTGAAATTTCAAGTTTTTAACAGTAGGGATACCTGCGTTTTATAGGCATCTTCATCATTCTTTTGAAGTAATCAAATATCTGATGTCACTTCTGTCAGTTCAATTCTGTGATTTGATTTTAAAAAATTGCGAATTCAGTAGTTGTTTAGTAATATACGAAGCCGCGAAGTCGAATGGAAGATAAAAGGACTTGCAGTTCTTTCTCGGAGACGGTATTATTGACTCATTTTTCGGAACTATAGCACAACAAAAGCCATTAACAGAGTATATATACAGGGTGTTATTTAAGTACGTGGCCAAACTCGAAGGGGTGATTCTTTGAGTGATTCTAAGACGAAAAGTTCATATAAACATAGGTCCGGTAATGCTTCGTTTTCAAGATACAGGGTGTCAAAATTTTTAAAAGAAATCGTTTTTTTCGTAAATATCTTAATAACCCTTCAACCGATTTTATTGAAATTTGGCAGTGTTATTCAAGGTCGTAAAGGGCTAATTTAACCGTAACTTTATCAAGATTATCATGTCCAGTGGCGTCCCGGAAGGCACTGTAACCAATATTTTTGACAAAAAAGATGTGCGCCACTGATTTTTTTGCAATTTTTGTATTTGTTTCACATTGAGCAACTAAAATAACAACTTTTTTATATCTAGAATTTTTTTCGTATCTTGCTTTGTTTTTGAGAAAAAAACATAAAAATCACTTCATTGCACATCCCTGTGACGAGCCGAAGCCAAGAGCCGAAGGCAAGTGCTGCAATTCATACATACATATTTTTTGTTTTTTCATTGCATCAATTTTGATAAAAAATTCCAAGACTAGAATAGAGTATTAATATGAAAAAATATTAGTAAGACCCCAGTTTTTGATGGTTCAGTAGTTGAAATGTTTTATTGTGTTGTCACAGGGATGTGCAATGAAGTGATTTTTATGGTTTTTCTCAGAAACAAAGCAAGATACGAAAAAAATTCTAGATATAAAAAAGTGGTAATTTCAGTTGCTCAATGTGAAACAAATACAAAAATTGCAAAAAAATCAGTGGCTCACATTTTTTCTGTCAAAAATATTGGTTACAGTGCCTTCCGGGACGCCACTGGACATGATAATTTTGATATAGTTAGGGTTAAATCAGCCCTTCACGACCTTGAATAACACTGCCAAATTTCAATAAAATCGGTTGAAGGGTTATTAAGATATTTACGAAAAAAACGATTTCTTTTAAAAATTTTGACACCCTGTATCTTGAAAACGAAGCATTACCGGACCTATGTTTATATGAACTTTTCGTCTTAGAATCACTCAAAGAATCACCCCTTCAAGTTTGGCCACGTACTTAAATAACACCCTGTATATGTGATATATATCCGGGAAAAAAGTACTCACTTTTTTCCCACGGGAAAAAAGTAATTTATGAAAAGTGACATTTTATAACCTGCCAACAGAGATGAAATGCCAAACTTTTTTCCCGTCACAAAAAAAAAGTATTTTTTTTATAAAATGTCACTTATACCGGCAGATTGTGAATTGAAAATATGATTGTGATATGTCATTGTAAGGGTAATTCTATACCGAATTGTAATTAAAAAAAAAAAATTATACTTCCTATTCGAAATATATAAATTGGATGCGCTTCCGGTCAAACCGGAAGTGACATATTTGGATTGATACTTGCTAAATTGTACATTCATAATATCAAATCGAAGTACCGAATTTGAAACATCCATACAAAATAACAACGAAGATACAGGGGGGTAAATTGGTTCCGGGTCACCCGGTATAAAAAAAGCTTCAATGACACTACTCACTAACTTTACAGGGTGTTTCAAAATTTAGTATCAAAAATTTTGGTGCTTATTTTTCCGATCACAATTAGACTTTTTCATACAGGGTGTCCGGAAATTATGCGCAAAACATCAAGGGTGTGATTTTTCATGGTAAAATGAGAAATTCATTTTATATGTACCTGGGTCCGGAAAAACATAGTTTTCAACATACAGTGTGTTAAACTTTTTGAAAAATCTTATTTAAATTGGGCAATGATATTTCTTGTCATGATTGGAATTATTCAATCCAGTGGCGTCCTAAGGGGCAACCTACCGAATATTATTGTCAATAAAATGTGCGCCACTGATTTATTTGAATTCTGTATCTTCATAACCTATTGACTAACTAAAAATACAACATTTTGATCTCCTGAATTGTTTTGACCTAATGCTTCATTTCCATGATAAAAAATTAATACCAATTCATTTCATAAATTTGTGCCGAAAAATTCCTTCAAAAACTGGAGTGAAAATAATTGTGTGATCCATGTCCATAGACATAGAATAAGAATGAAGATTCATTTTCTTCAAATATTTCATGATACATGATTGACACACTCTACACTCTGTATGTTGAGAACTATGTATTCTCCGAGGTATTCTCGGTCCAGGAAGGCGTAGTTTTTAATAATATAATAATATAATAATAATAATAATGATAAGTGTGTCAAACATGTATTATAAAATATCTGAAGATAGTGAATCTTCATTTTTATTCTATGTCTATGGACATGGATGACACATTTTCAAATGTTCACCCCTGTTTTTGAAGGAATGTTATGCACAAATTTATACAATAAATTGTTATTTATTTTTTTCCACCGAAACGAAGCAAAATATTAAATCAATTCAGGAGACCAAAATGTTGTATTTTTAGTTGATCAATAGGACATGAAGATATAGAATTGAAAAAATCAGTGGCGCACATTTTATTGACAATATTCGGTAGGGTGCCCCCGGGACGACACTGGATTTCACAATTCCAATTCAATTATGGCTAAATCAGCCCCTCATGACAAAGACTATCATTGCCAAATTTGAAGAGAATCGGTGGGAGGATATTCGAGATATTAATAAGAAACAGATTTTTTGTCTAAAGTTTAACACACTGTATCTTGAAAAGTATGCTTTTCCGGGCCCACGTATATATGAAATAAATGTCATGTTTTCTCATGCAGAATCGCGCCCTTGATTTTTTGCGCATAATTTCCGGACACCCTGTATAAACATGTGTGCTCAAGCCAAGCCCTTCATTACGGATCTATAGAGCCTAGAAATTTCAAGATTTTTTCTTTCTTTCTATATAGCTCTTTTAGTTTTCGAGATATTCAGTGCATTCGAGTACATCATAAGTGTGAATTTAATTTGAATTCTTATTCCAGAACCATGTGAGCCGTCTTGCCCGATCCAGCCGCCGCACAACGTCCCCGCCCCGTCGGCCGTCTCCCCAGGCGGGCCGCAGTCGCTCGCCCCGCCCCCTGGCCCGAGCGCGGCAGGGGGCGGAGCCGTACCCGCCCCCCACCACCACTCCCCCTACGACCTGCGCCGTAAGTCGCCCACGTCGTCGTCGTCGCATCACGCGCACGACGGGCCGGGACCGAGCACGAGCGCCGCGACTGCGGGTTCGCCCACCTCGCCGGCCACGCCCACCGCGCCTGCGCAGGGGTACGCCTGCGCGATGTTGCCGGCGCGGAAGCGGCCGCGCCGGACCTGCTCCGCCTCCTACGAGAGTGAGTATTCCCAATTTGGATCACTATTTATTTATACAGATTTGTTTCCTCAACACTTTGCTGCTCCTAAAGTGGTGCATGGAGTTAGTAACAAAGCTTACACAGAACATGCAGAAAGAGATGATGTGGTTGTGAGCATCAGAGAAGAAGTAGGACGGTGTATGTAGGTGGGTGTAGAAAACTACCAGCTGAGAGTGAGAGTGGACCAGTGGACCTCGGTCTCTAACGGGGGTTAACGAGGATAGCTAGAAGGCCTGCCACTGAGCATATGGTAGTGAGTACATTACTGGCCTACAAAACACAGCCGAAAAAACTCTGAAAAGGAGTTGATGGGCGGTGCCTGAAAAGGATGTTAGCCAGCTCTCTTAAGCGAACCACATCACTCATTAAAACACCTTGGGGCTTGCAAAAAGATCCCATTAGGGACTTGTTGCTGACGTGCAAACGTCCCCCACCAGTACCAGTTGAGTAAAATATAAACGATCACCCTGTTTATGAATTCAGTTGAATTGAGGTGGATGAAACTTCTTTTTTGGCACAAAATAGGAGTCTCAACGATAGTAGAATAACGCATAACTGAAATGTGGGCGTGTCTAGAGCCTGGAGGCGAGAGGAGGCCACACAGGATCCTGTTTCTTGAAATGTATGTGTTATGTTGATTAGAGTCCCTGTATATACCTTAGATAAGAGTCCGGACACAAAACTGACAGCTGTTGGGGTTTTCAATGTTTTGTTTCATTTGGTTTGCCCACCTGACAATGTGACGAAACATCATAGTCGTCCCGCCCGCTTTTTTTAGTTATTTCGAATTTCTGTCACTGTCACTTTGAAATTTTATGACCGCCAAAATTTAGCATTTTAAATTATTTCAATGTCCTGCTGCATACATTATTGCGATAATTCATTAGAAAAGGGATTGAAGTTATTATTATTATTTAATAGTTATTATAGTTAAAATAGCCCTATTTCTCACTTCTACCTATGGCTATGAACGGTTTGACAAATAATCTAACCCTCAAAATTGTTTCTGACAATCATTGATACTAGGGGAATTGAAAAGACAGAGCTCGATATATATGTCTTATTCCTTTATTCAATCATCAATGCATTTTTTGAAAACAGAAAAGGACAGAAGTATAGCCGTGTCCGGACTCTTATCTAAGGTATATACAGGGACTCTAATGTTGATAACATCGATAATTATTGAATAATCGTTCAATTTCAATGGAGAATTATAATTTCATATTACTTATTGAATACATTTGAAATTGAAAAAATGTTCGTCACAGGAACAAATGAATAGGGAATATACATATTCCGTTAGCAAGAACATTACAAAACAAACAAATGACCTAAAAAATAGGGATGTGATGATTAAAACCAGATTGAATTTGGATATTGAGGATTATTAGGTTAATTATCAATTCCTAATGAAATGAGGTTTTTTTACAATAAGTGATTCAAGATGAATTGAAAATTGCAGACTTTGTCCCATACAAGACATGGGTAGTTTTGTCCTAGAATCGAAACAAGCGAATGTCCTTGAAATATGGGCGTGTCTTGACATTTGCAGCATCTACGGTGGGTGTGGTCAATTAGAAACGCCTAATTCCGGTTCCACTTCAATATGGCACTGACAAATAACTCAAGCAGATATCTTCTGCCCTGTTATAGGAAACATTGTATTTCAGATTGTACAAATACTGCTGCACATTATCTGCAATACGAACTCCCCGATGAGGTATTGCTCACGATCTTCAACTATCTATTGGAACAAGACCTGTGCCGCGTTAGCCAGGTCTGCAAAAGATTCCAAGCCATAGCCAACGATACTGAATTATGGTAAGTGAAGACTCATGATCCATGAACAGACTTTCCCTTTGGTGTGATAAAAAAACATATCATTATGGATATTTTCTAGGAAACGTCTCTACCAGAGTGTATACGAATACGATTTGCCATTGTTCAATCCGGCCCCATGCCGTTTCGAATTTGTCAGCCCAGAAGAGTCCGATCTGGCCAATCCATGGAAGGAATCCTTCAGGCAGCTCTATCGCGGCATTCACGTCAGACAGGGATATCAGGACGTCACGTTTAAGGGCCGCAATCTCGTCTACTTCAATACTGTTCAGGTTGGTTTGAAAAAAAAAACAGGATTTCCCGGAAGGTTCTATAATATTTTGGAATGTTTCAAAATGTGCAATAAAGCTCATGAAAGTTTTGAAACATGGTATAATGTTCAAGAATGTTGAAAAATATTGTAGAATATTACAGAATGCCATATACACTTTCAGAAGATTCAAGAATATTCCAGGAGGCATTTAAATGTCTGGAATGCTAATGAATATTTCCAAAATATTGACGATTGCTGAAGAGCTGATTCAGAATGTTCTAGAATATTCAAAAATGTCGGGAAAATACCATTGTCTAAATTCAATCAGGATTGAATTGAGGAAAATTTGTTCAATGGAAATATTTTACTCACCAAAAAACAATCATATCCTTGATACAGAAAGGCATCTCTAAACCCACAGGTCCTTGTCAGGAGGATCAAAAAGGATGAAATCAACACATTTTGATACATTCATTCTTTTATTGATGAAAAAAGAATAGTTTGACATGATTTAGTCAAGATTCAAGATTTCTGTATTAGCAAGCTCAATTCTTCAATGATGATAACTTATTCAACCGAAGATGATTTTTCCCTCTTTTCCTCAGGGTGCTCTCGACTATGCGGACGAGCGTAGCGGTTCGAACAGCACTTCTGGATCTGTGTCGGGGTCGTGCAGCAACCATTCCTTGGAAGGGTCTTCTCAAGGGGCTCTTATCTTCCTCCACGCCGGTACTTACCGGGGAGAGTTCCTGGTCATCGATTCGGACATCGCCTTGATAGGTTAGTTAATTGATTGATTATATTGTTGAAGTTGGGTTTACATCCACTACACGAATTATCAACTCATTTTTGGCGCCCAACGTGAATTCGGCTGTGGTTATGGCGCCTAACGTGGTCATTCCTCAAAGTAACTATTCAAAAAGAGTGATTTATTTTGCTTATTCCTTCTGCAGAAAGGACATCACATTCTAACTGCTGTCAAATCGATATTTTAGAGTTTTCAACTGGGCATTAGTTACAATAATTAATATAACCAGATTTTTCATATGTACTGTAGGGGCGGTCTTGTTTGAGGGTTTGCTTGAAAAAAATAATTAAAGTGACATCACTATGCCGTTACAAAATGGCGTATATAATGTAACAACCCAAGAGATTCAATTTATTATTGCACATTCACACATTTATAGGAATCCCGGTTTATTAGATATATGAAAAATATCTATAAAGGATACCAATTCTCTGACAATGATTTACCCATTCGTGTTTGGCATTTAGGATTGTTGGCTTATACTTTTTAATCATTGATGAATTAATTGTGGTGTCAATCTATTGTTAATTAGTCTCAGATTTTGCTATAGAAATTATCAACAGATTTTTGGCGCCCAACGTAGGATCTCCATCAATTATATCATTCAACAACTAGCTTCCCGTTGATCTGAAATGTTTCTTGACCCAGCCAGTACACTTTCTAGACTATACAGCTGTTCCAAGCAGATCATCTGGCATTTTCCAATTATATTGTTCAACTAGGGTTCTCAGGACACGGATTATCAACACGTTTTTGGCGCCCAACGTGAGTTCTTCCATGTTCATGTTGCCCAACGTGAGAATTTCAGTCAATACTGTCACCCAATAACCAGCTCACGGTGCATCTGAAATGATCCTTGACACAGCCAGTACGTTAATAATTGTTTCATGCACTTCATCTTGCATTTTTAATTGTAATGTTGAAGTAGGGTTTTCATGTATATCTCACAATACGAAATATCAACACATTTTTGGCGCCCAACGTGGGGTTCTCCATCACTTCTGATAGCTTCATTCGTTTCAACATCCGATGGCGTTTTCAGGTGCGGCGGCTGGCAACGTTGCCGAATCGGTCGTCCTCGAGCGCGAATCCGAATCGACGGTGATGTTCGTCGAGGGCGCTAAGAACGCGTACGCCGGTCACGTGACGTTGAAGTTCTCGCCCGACGTCACGTCGACCGTGCCCCACCACAAGCACTACTGCCTCGAGGTGGGCGAGAATTGCAGCCCCACCGTCGACCGTTGCATCATCAGGAGCACCTCCGTCGGTGAGTAACCATTGGGCGTTTGTGTGTGAACGAGATTGGATGAAAATTGAAAGTTGATCTTCACTTGACTGATGTGGAAGAATTGTATTTATTTTTTTGGCGCCCAACGTGGGGTCTTGTGAGTTTTTGGTACAAAACGATATGAAACATTTTTTTGAGAAGTTTCTGGAAAAGTTATTAAGGAATATTCCAAAAAGTTTTTCGTGAATATTTTTTGAAAATTTGCGAAACATTCATAATTCGATGCAGAATTAAAAAAATTGAAAAATGTGAAAAAACAGTCGAAAATAATCGATGTTTCCGAGCGTTTCTCCAAAAAACAAACCCTTATAATTTTAAATGAGTTTGATCCAACCTCACGGGTATTCCCTGTATGTTTTTGTTCCTACTGAACTGTTTAAATGTTTGTCGAGAAAAAAATCTCAATTAGAGACTTCATTTTCCGACGTTTGTGAAGAATGAAATCTATCAGCGACATGATATTTTTGTTGTCCGACGTGAGTTCCCTAGTGCCTCCTAACACCCAACGTGAGTTTCAGTTATCCTCATAAGTTTTTGGGTGCCAACGTGAGTTATAGAAATTTTTGGCGCCCAACGTGAGTTCTCATTCAGCAACAGCTATAACAATAGATTTTCAGCCTGGAAAATGGCGTTCTTCAACTTTTATAGCGAACTTTTCCCAGCATAGAACAAATGTAATAAACTTCTTCACACTTAGGAGCAAAGAACATATTTTTGGCACCCAATGTGACTTCTCAAGGAGCATCACGGCGGTGAGTACCACCTTTGTTAAGTATCATAAAAAATACTCTTATGGTTGCTTTCTACTGAAAGCAATTAATGGCTGGCTGTATACTTCATATTATTTGATTTCAGATTAATAAACGACTCACACATTTACAATTGTAGTTGATACAACCGACACAACCATAAGTTTAGCAACCATAATACGAGATGGTTGATATTAAGATAAAACATTATTATTCTATTGTCAGTTGTCACTATTCTACTGTCATCTAGGAATAATTGTCGAAAGGAGTACGAAAACTGGAGAGAATAGATAGCAACCAATAATAAGGCAAACTTCAATTAGAAGTGTTGCCTGAATAATAATCATTGAAGTTGTTCAAATTTGCATAAAAATATACCGGGTGACAACGAAATTATTGGACATGGCGTCAGTCAGTTGTTTTTCATGTTAGATTTTTGAAATTCGGATTTAAGATATAGTTCTCAGAGATCCATATTTTCCAGAAATAAACAGTTGTATATCACTTCTGGTTTTACCGGTAGTAGGCATTATATTTTGACCCCTACCTACCTACCTACAGCTTTAACTATACGAGGTGGAAAAAAACTTCAAATATGAAAGGTAGGGTTTCCATCAGTACTATCTTTCGGCACTCCTTGACTAGGGTGAAGATTTATACTAGCTGCATACACGTAACAATAGAATGAAGAGATTTTGTTTTTCGCTTTCGGCTAAAAAGCCATCATCAGTGCTATACTGCAAGTAAGTAATATTTATGAAAATTTCAAAAAAATCCAAAAGTGTAGATTACTTACTCGTCAAGTATTTATTACAAAAATGTCCAAAAATTCGAGATCAAAGACATCAATATGGTACAAACGGAATTAGGAACAGACATACATTCAACAGAAAACAGTATGTATTCAAACGACCATTAATTTTTTTCGAAGTTGGGGCGGCAGTGTGCGTTAGCGGCGTCGGCGCCAATCCCGTCATCCGCCATTGCGACATCAGCGATTGCGAGAACGTCGGCTTGTACGTGACCGATTACGCGCAAGGCACCTACGAGGACAACGAGATCAGCCGGAACGCGCTCGCCGGCATCTGGGTGAAGAACTACGCGAATCCGATCATGCGCAGGAACCACATCCATCACGGCCGCGACGTCGGCATATTCACCTTCGATAACGGATTGGTAAGATCTTTTTTTTCTAATTTTGACATCATGTCAGATCATATTTCGAGTTTTAGTATTAATTATTGAATGATTCAACTGGACATATATTCTCAATAGTAAAAAATAGTAAATCATTTCTGAGTGGGATTTTCCCGAACTGTCTCAAGATAGCCATAATAAGTCCTTTACCTAAGGGAGGAGACTGCGACATAGTATCAAATCTGAGACCAATTTCACTTTTACCAACTCTGGCTAAGTTAGTTGAAAAATTAGTTAAAAAAAGAATGTTCTCATTTTTGCTTCATAATCGCACTCTAAGCACCTACCAGTTCGGTTTTCAAACAGCTAAAAATACAAATGATGCTATGTTTGCTTTATTAGAGGATATATATATCAACATAAACGATGGTGACGCAGTTGCAGCAGTTTTTTGCGACCTTTCAAAAGCATTCGACTGTGTTGATCATGAAATTTTGCTTCAAAAATTAAAAATTTATGGCTTTAGAGATATTACACTAAGATGGTTCCAATCATACCTATCAGAGCGTACTCAAATAGTCTCGCTTAACAAAATAAAGTCCAGGTCTCAGTTAGTGAAGTGTGGGGTCCCTCAAGGATCAGTGCTTGGACCAATCTTATTTTTAATATACAGGGTGGCCCACGAGGTTTTGGGCAGTCGATATCTCGGAAACTATTTGAACTATAATTTTGAAATTTGGTGGTTTCAAACAGTGGAATGTGGTGTTCATTCTTGATATAAGAGGGTTTCATTGCAACATCGCATTTCCGATCAGGTGACATCAACTTCAAAATTTCAAATGGAACACCTTGTATATTATTGCATTTTCGTGAAGTCCTTTCTAATACAAATTCTACGATACCATAATTGGTTTATTCTACACAGCCTACAAATTTAGATGATTTGCAAAACAAAATCAGAGCAGCGTGCCAAACTGTTACACCTGAAATGATTAGAGCAGCATGCTCTAGAAATCTTTTAACAAGATTTGAGCATTGCGTTACTGAAGATGGACATCAATTTGAGCATCAACTGTAATGCTTTTTCTACTTATTTTGTTTCGTTTCCTAATTATACTGTGGTTCTTTCCATTTAAAATTTTGAAGTTGACATTACGAGATTGGAAATGCGATGTTGCAATAAAACCCTCTTATACCAAAAATGGTCACCGCATTCCATTGTTCAAAACCACAAAAATTCAAAATTGTAGTTGAAATAGTTTTCGAGATATCGACTGGCCAAAACCTCGTGGGCCACCCTGTATATAAATGACCTAGCAAATATCACTATTAGAGGAAAGTTTACTATGTTCGCAGATGACACCACAATACTGTGGCATAGCAACAATAATGACGAACTGAGTAACTATGTCGCTGAAGATATATTAGAAGTAAAAAATTGGTGTGATGCGAATAAGTTATCATTCAATATTTCTAAAACATGTATTTTGACGTTCAAGTGCACTCTTAATGATATACTTCTGGAAAACTCAAGAATTTGTACTCAATCCTCGGCTAAGTTTTTAGGGCTCTATGTGGATGACAGTCTCTCATTCAACACCCACATTACAAATTTATGCAGAAAATTATCTTCTGGTTGTTTTGCAGTAAGAGTCATCTCATCTGAATTGAATATATCTGCAGCAAGATCAGTTTATTTTGCCCTGATTGACTCAATTTTGAGATATGGAGTTTTTTTTTTTTTTTTTTTTTTTTATCGCTTGGAGCGCACGAGAGAGTTTGTTTTTGGGGGAATAGTTCTCAATCTCTTTTGAACTCTGTGTTCATTTTACAAAAGAGGGCGGTTAGATACCTTAGTAAAGCTAAATTCAGAGAACCATGTAAACCCTTATTTGTGGCTCAGAAAATACTGACATTGACTTGCATCTTCATTCTAGAGAGTGTATGTATGATCCACAAAAAATATACCACGAACATTCATTCGATGTCGGTATACAACACAAGAAATGTTGACTGTACGGTTTCCCTACTAATTCCTAGAAGTACATTAATAAAAAAGTCTTTTATTTATAATGCCAAAAAAATTTTTAATCACCTGCCTTCACATATTCCTTCATTGCTAACACATATTAAGTTTAGAAAGGCAGTAAAAGAGCTACTACTGAATAAAGCCTATTATACCTTGCAAGAATTTTATGAAGACGCATTTAATTAAGTTTGTCAGTTTGTATAATTCGTTTTTAATTGTTCAATACCTTTTTTTATAGTGTGACTTTTACTAGTATATGTTCGACTTAAATGTTTTGTTCCTTATATATGTGCATATTTTACATGATTTTATGTAGTTTTAATATTAGTTATAGCTTATGATACACATGCTTTGTCAACAAAAACTTTAGGTTTTTAGTACAATAAAGACTTTCTTCTTCTTCTTCTTAAACTTAAACAGATTGGTTATATTCGAAGTCAAGTTCTTATATGAACTTAGTGGGGTACTCTCTCCTGTTTATTTACTGCTGTTTTTTTTGCATAACGAACTAGATTTTACTTATTGTATGGACATTATCTACAAATAATGCTCTATGACCTTCTGTAAAAATAATGTACTGTAACCTTCTCTAAATTTACATTCATTCATTGATTCATTCAATTCGACACTTTTCAAAACTGACGAAAATCTTTCATCGGAATTAAAATGAAATATTGCACAAATAAATACAAAAAGCTCAAAGTTATTTCCATAAATGTTCATAAAATGAACAACAATGGTAGATTTCTGGAGAAAAACAACCACTTTCCTGGCTAATACCATGCAGGAAATTGAATTCCATCCTCCTGAAATCTATGCATCAATACCTATGAACGAATACCAATGCAAGTTCCAAAAGAGGAACAAGCAACACGAAGTCGGTCGACCACACTTCGACACTACGGCCTTCATCAGACAATGGTACTATTCTGCTAACCCGTTGACGAAAATCATCTCGTATAGAACCATGATTTATTGATTTATATGCTCCCATCAGTGTAGGGTAGTCTCCAGCTAGCAGTACGAAGACTGCCGAGCAACCAGCATTTACAAATGTTTCTTGTACTCCATAAAAAAAATATCATGTAAATGTTGGAGGCATGGCAACATTGTGCTGAATGCTGAGAAGGGACAAGACCACGCCCACAAGTCGTGCTCGCCGTGTTGTCACGTTCACCGCTCCAAATGATCATTTCAACACCTAAAAATCGAACGATAAATTCCGAAAAAAATATGGAATTGAAGGATATTTAAGTGATGATTCTATTTATTAGTCCACTCGCCTATTAGAGTTGAGTAGCTACTGATGAAATATTTTCGAAGTTTGATACGATTTATTACGTACAAACGGTATCATCTGCAATATTCATTCGGTTCCTGACTTCGGGCGGAGTACATGCTTCCATATCAGAATCACTGTCACTCATAATCCCATTCGGTTTCTGTTTTGTTTACTTTTTGACAGCTAAGTAGAATTTCCTTTTGGTTGAAAACTGAACTCCTAGGCTGCTTCATTCATCGAAATTTTAGTAATATGCTGAGTGAATACGGTGAATAACATTGTCCTTCAATGGAAATCAAAATCAGAATTAATGAAAGATGTTGATATTTCAGTGTTAATAGTGGAAAAAATATTATATACTAGGTGTCTCAGATCTTTTCATACAGCCAATATTTCAGTTATGCTGCTTGGAAAAAACATTCAAAAAATTACACTTGTCAAACCCAAATGACTTTGAAGCCATTGTGTCGAAGTAAACTTCTGTCCAACTCTTCCTGAAAAGCCACCTCCAACTTGAATTATTCAAGTTAAACCCTATTGATTAATGACAACCTGCATATGTGTTGTTGAATCTTCATGGCAATTACAATTTGGTAAATTAAAACTAACTAATCTGAAATGTTCCACCTTGAATATTATATAAACGACTGAACCGAATATCAACAACCTTTCACTCACCGGCAAAACAATCCGGCCACCAAAAAATTTTGTCAAATTGTTCGCCCTGTAACTTTTTTATTTTTTTTCCGATTTTGGTGAAATTTCGACCTGATCGTATATTCATGTTATGGTATGTGAGTCTGGATATTATTGCCAAAGAAAAGCTGATGATTTGATCATTATACAGGAAAACACAAAAGTTATTCTTTCCCCCCTAACTTCCTAACGCTCTGTGGAAGAGATGAGTGGTTAAACTTAGCTGCATTATGTTTGGGAGTGAAGTGTGATCTCTTTTCAACACATTGGTTTTTGATTCACGTCGATAACCATATTTTAAGAGAAGATACAATATTTTAAAGGATTGTTTATTTAAATTTTTATTAACAATATTTCAGAACCATTCTCCATCCAACCTTCTGCTTAATCATGTTTTGAATTGAAGTGTGATCCTCTTTTGTCCCTCCTCAACACAATGATTTTAGATTCACGTCAATATCTTCTTTTCAATAGAAGATACGAGTTTTTTCAGAAAATATGGAATTTTAAAATTTTTATTAACAACCTATAGAGCATCTACGTCCTGCCTAGTCAGAGACTCTTGAAGAGGTTCGATTAACCCTTCAAGGAGAATTTCAGGCAATTTTTCAAGACTAATTGAGAAATTTAATCAACTCAATGCTACGGAAGTTGGATTGAAATCAAACTCGAGGAGGGCATACTCGTTATTGACTACAAGGTCTGCTTCTTATTTGTTTCTTGTAATCAAAGTTTTTTCCGGTAATTTCTTTGAGAATGGGTAGAAATAAGAATTATTGATTCTTCAAGTTGTTGACCAATAAGTTCATGTAGGTTCTGATTATTGTTAATAAGAATTGAAAAGTGCTGTACTTTCTCAAGTTACTCGTATTGTCTTTCAAAAATAAGATGTTGACGTGAATCAAAAGCTATTGTGTCGAAATAGGATCACACTTCAATCCAAAGCATAATGAAGCCAAGTTTAACAAGCCAAGTTCAACCATTCAAATTCACCACAGGGCGTTAAGAAGTGATGGGTGAAGAAGTAACTTTGGTTATTCCCTGTATAATGATCAAGTCATCAGTTCTTGACGGGGACTAATATTAAGGCTACCATTCAATAACGTGAATCTACGATTTGATCAAAGTTTCACAAAAATCGGACAAGGATTGAGAAAGTTAAAGGGTGAACAATTTGGGCAAATTTTTTGGTGGTCGTTTTTTTGCCGGTGAGTTTATTTTTGAAATCAGAAAAGAAAGATCTTCAATTTTTTTGAAAAATATATAGGCTTTTCCATTGAAAATAACGCAGTTGGCACATCTCCAATGATGAGACCTGTAGAAGTCGTTTGAATATACGTAATTACCCTGTACTCATCTATGGAATGTGGTGGATAAACGATATTGTATCCATTTATCTAGGGTTATTTCGAGGCCAACGACATCCACAACAACCGCATCGCCGGCTTCGAGGTGAAAGCCGGCGCCAACCCGACCGTCGTCCATTGCGAGATCCACCACGGCCAGACGGGCGGCATCTACGTGCACGAGAACGGCCTCGGCCAGTTCATCGACAACAAGATCCACTCGAACAACTTCGCCGGCGTGTGGATCACCTCGAACAGCAATCCGACCATCAGGCGCAACGAGATCTACAACGGCCACCAAGGGGGCGTGTACATATTCGGCGAGGGGCGGGGCCTGATCGAGCACAACAATATTTACGGAAACGCTCTGGCAGGTGAGTTTGACCTTTTTGGCGCCCAATGAGGGGTATATGAATACTGCCACCAAGGGAACGTGTACATATTCGGCGAGAGGCGTGGCCTGATCGTGAACAACATCATATGCGGGAACGCTCTGGTAGGTGAGTTTTGCTTTTTTGGCGCCAACGCGAGTGTTTTTGGTAGTTTTTTGCGCCTTTGTTTCATTTCTGGCGCCCAACGAGGGGTTTCGATTCTATGATGCTGTGAGCTATTTTGGTATTGATGACTTACCAATATCTTCAGTATTGAAATGAAAATTGAAATGTATAGGGGAAATAATATCCTTGTTGAGTTTAAAGTTTCCAGAAATCATCCGTATCCACGATGTTCGTGAAAGATGTATATCCCGACATTGAAAATAAAAGAGTCGATTGCCTGTGGTGGCTCTGGTTGTTAGAAAAATCGACATCAATACCAATTCTTCATTACATTGACATACTTTATTTTTTTAATTTTGATGTTTTTGTGTCCATTGCGGTTATCCAGCTCCTAACATATTCGAATTGTTTTTTATTGTTTCATTATCAATTTCAGTAATGTTCACATCTCTATGTTTCCTGATATGGTTATATTTTTATTGTGCCCTACAGAAGAACTAGAATACTGTATTGTTTGGTATCTAACGTGACTGCTCTAACAGTTTTTGATGACTAAATTATCCTATAATTGAATCTTCCATCAAGTACCACAGAACATGATCAATATGTCTTGTGTTGTGAATCGGAAGTAAATCGAATCATCTGTGATGCAATAGTAATAGTTGTCATAAACTATTTCTAAAGAAACACAGCTCACAGGAATACAAATAATATTCATGAAGTAACCATTACTTGCTTTTCTGCCTCTTCTTATGTTCCTTGATGGCATTATATTTCATAATGTGTCCAACATAGGTGCCCTAGCATTCTTTGGGGCCCAACGAGAGGCCTTCACCAAGTTCTTAGTCTATTGTTTATGGCGCCCAACAAGCGGCTTGAAGAGAAATATCGATCGATGATTCCGATTGGAAATCACTTTCCAGACCCTGGTCCTCGTGATCATCGACTGTATTTTTTATTTCCTTCTTGTCATTCAGATCCACGGCCAACATGGCGGCATCTACGTGCATGAAAAGTGCCAAGGGTCGTTTTTCTGCCTATTATCATGTTTCTTGATGGTTTTATATTTCATGATGCGTTCAACATAGCCTCGCTAGCATTCTTCGGCGAACGAGAGTCCTTCAGCAAGTTTTTGGCGCCCAACACTCATTCATTACTTCAGTTATTGATTTTTCTTCATCTTTGTAATTGATATTCGATTTGTTTAGTATAAATATCTGTATGATGAGATATGACATATCTGTAAATACTGTTTTTAGGTTAGTCCCGTTTGTATTCCTTTTCGTAAAGAAATAAATAAACATGTATTTATTTTTTCTGGCGCCCAACGAGCGGCCTCGGATAGATAGCGATCGATGATTCCGATTAGAAATCACTCTCTAGAAGTGGTTCTCATGATCATCGACTGTATTTTTTTGTTTCCGTCCAGGTATCCAGATTCGGACGAACAGCGACCCGATCGTGTGCCACAACAAGATCCACCACGACTAACATGGTGGCATTTGCGTGAACGAGAAGTGCTAATGCTCGTTTTTCTGCATACTCGCATGTTTTCTTGATGGTTTCATATTTCATAATGCGTCTAACATAAGTTCTCGAGCATTCTTTGGCGTCCAACGAGAGTCCTTCAGCATGTTTTTGGCGTCCAACGTGTGTTTATTCTTTCTGGCGCCCGACATGTGTTTATTCATTCTGGCGCACAACGAGTGCTTTCTTTCTGGCGCCCAACGAGCGGCCTCGGAGATATCGATCGATGATTCCGATTAGAAATCACTTTCTAGAACTGATCCTTGTGATCATCGACTGTATTTTTTTGTTTCCGTCCAGGCATCCAGATCCGGACGAACAGCGACCCGATCGTGCGCCACAACAAGATCCACCACGGCCAACATGGCGGCATCTACGTGCACGAGAAGGGCCAAGGGCTGATCGAGGAGAACGAGGTGTACGCCAACACGCTGGCCGGCGTGTGGATCACGACGGGCAGTACGCCGGTGCTGAGGAGGAACCGGATCCACTCGGGCAAGCAGGTCGGGGTCTATTTCTACGACAACGGGCACGGTAAGCAGTCGATCAATCAAATTTTCATTGAATAAACAAAAAAAAACAAAATGAGGTATTATCAATGTAAAATACTAACTAATTCAACAGATCAAACACTCGAAAATTAATATCTATTTTAAGAAAGTTGAACTATACTTCGCATTAACACACTAATAATCAACTTTACTCCACATTCTAAAGACATATGTGGAACAGTTGCCTAATTAATAATTCAAGAGGGTCATTCAGATAAAACATTTGATCAACTCGGCATAAATAGCTTGTGACAAGAAATAGAACAACCTTCATAACATAATACACTATAAACTTGATTGTTATTACGAGGTATGCAGGGTATATGACGACGAACTTACACTATCTCTAGATCGAGAATCAGTCAGGAGAAATTCATGAAACTATGCATGCAATTATTTTAGAATACGTTCTCTTCATTTGAAATATTTTCAGCAATTCAGTGTTGCCGCTTCTATCAAAAAGTAGCAAACACTTTGTTATTTCAAATAGAATACCCTGTATTTTATTGCATTTTCATATTCACCCTGGAGAGCAGATTTCATCGGTACATCACAAAGTGTTATATATATCGATGAAATCAGCTCTTCAGGAAGAATCTAAGAATGCGATAAAATACAGAGTGTTCCATTTGAAATATCAATGTTTCTACTACTCTCTAGTGGAAGCTGCCACACTGCATTGTCGAAAATATTTGAAATGAAGAGAGCAAATTCTGAAATATAAGCATACACATTTTCATGTATTCTTCCCGACTGATTCTCGAAATAAAGATAGTGTAAGCTCGTTGTGAAATACCCTGTATAGCGAAATGAAATATATGAAAAAATATTCAAAGATGAACGTGGCAGCACCGCAAAATTTCGTAGTAGACGAGCAATAATCGTAGTAGGAAATGTTATTCGTCGTTATTGTTGATATTGAACGGTTTCTGGTTGTTGTTTGATGAGTTTTTGGTGTTTCTGTAACTCATTTATTAATATAATGAATATAGATCCGACTATTTTTATAAATCAGTATGGTTCGGCTATAAAGGAAAGTAAGAGACAAATATTCTACACTAATATACATAGAAATATGGTCCAGTGGCGGTTTTATTCGATGGTTTGCTCTTGTTGATGAAAAAGGCGCGTTTAAAATATTGAAGTGTCAAATAACCTCACTAAGAAGTTACAAAATAATATTATTTATTGAAATCCCGATTTATTAGATCAATTATATATCAATTCTCTGGCAATGATTCCGCAGAGTTATCTCCACCATTCAAGATTTCATTCATTGATCCTTGTTTGGCGTATGCGATTGTTGGCTTATACTTTTCAAAGATTCATGAATGAATGGAGGTGTCTATCTAATGATATTCATTCTGCGACCTTGACACTCATTTTTCCGCAGGCAAACTGGAAGATAACGACATCTTCAACCACCTGTACTCGGGCGTCCAGATACGGACGGGCAGCAACCCTGTGATCAGAGGCAACAAGATATGGGGCGGACAAAATGGCGGCGTGCTCGTATACAACGGCGGCCTCGGGTTGCTCGAGCAGAACGAAATTTTCGACAACGCGATGGCCGGCGTCTGGATCAAGACCGATTCGAATCCGACGCTGAAGCGCAACAAGATATTCGATGGGAGAGATGGGGGTATTTGTATATTCAATGGCGGCAAGGTGAGTAATCGTTTTCGGAAATGATCATATCGGGATAGAAGGTTTTTTTGTGCCCATCTAGGTAATTTCTGGCGTCCAACGTGAGTTCTCGCAGTACTTTTTTGCACCCAACGAGAGTTTTCACAGTACTTTTCGGTGCCCAAAGTGAGTTTTCACAGCACTTTTTGACGTCCAATGTGAGCTCACGGTACTTTCCAGTGAGTTTTGTAGTAAATCTCTGGCACCCAACGTAAATTCTCAGTACTTCTTGGCGCCCAACGTGACTTCTTAGTACTTTTAGGCGCCCAACGTGACTTCTTAGTACTTTTAGGCGCTCAACGTGAGTTGTCACAGTACTTATTTCAGGTCCAACGTGAGTTCTCTCGGTATTTTCTAGCGTGCCACGAGAGCTGATGTTACTTTTCAGCGCCCAATCGGAGTCATTTAGATAATATCTGGCACCCAACATGAGTCCTTTAGGTCATTTATGGCGTTTAACTCAAGATAATTTCTGGAGTCTAATGTAGATTAATTATCACAGTACTTTTCGGAGCTCAACGTAAGTCCTCTTGGTAATTTCCTGGTGTGCAACTTGTGTCCTCTAGATAATTTATGAAGTCCAATCTGGGTTCTCAGTAATTTCTGGCAGTCCTTTAGGGGATTTTTGGAACCAAAGTGAGTCTTTTCTGGAACTCAATGTGAGTCCTTTAGGTTTTTCTGGCGTCCAACGTGAGTCCTCACAGTAGTTCTTGGCGCCGAACGTAATTTCTCATGGTACTTTCAGACGCCCAACGTGAGTTCTCACATTATTCTTTGGCGCTCAATGTAAATTCTAAAGCTAATTAATGCCGCCCAACGCGAATCCTCTTGGTAATTTATGGCACCCAACTTTACTTCTCACGGTACTTTTAAACGCCCAACGTGAGTTCTCAGTACTTTTTTGGCGCCCAACGTGAGTTCTCACAGTACTTTTTGGCGCCCAACATAAGTTCTCACAGTACTTTTTGGCGCCCAACGTGAGTTCTCACAGTACTTTTTGGCGCCCAACATGAGGTCTAACTGTACTTTGTGGCGCCCAATTTGAATATGAAAGTTGAAAAATAATGAAAACTCCTTTTTGTAATTGCAGGGGATCCTCGAAGAGAACGACATATTTCGCAATGCGCAAGCCGGCGTGTTGATATCGACGCAGAGCCACCCGATCCTGCGCCGGAATCGCATTTTCGACGGTCTGGCGGCCGGCGTCGAAATCACCAACAATGCGACGGCGACGCTCGAGTTCAACCAGATATTCAACAACCGATTTGGAGGGCTGTGCTTGGCCAGCGGCGTTCAGCCCATTGTCAGGGGCAACAAGATATTCAACAATCAGGACGCCGTGGAGAAGGCCGTGTCGAACGGGCAGTGCTTGTACAAGATATCTAGTTATACGTCGTTTCCGATGCACGATTTTTACAGGTAGATTATGTCTCGTCCGACTAGAACGTTGTTTTGCTTTCTAAACTGATTGAAACAAATTTAGGAGATTTTCAAACGCAAACTACATAGGTAATAGTAGCTATACCACATTTTTTTAGAATAACATTTCCATACCAAGTGTGTTTCATTAGTTTTTCAAACTACTATTTATTACAGAGCTTGTTCGTCATACTCGTTCCGTCATCTTGAATTTCCTAATTTTGACGAAAGAATCATAATTCCCGACCCCGACGACCCCTAGATACCAATTTTGAATTGAATCGATCATAATTATTACACAACTCCTCCGCTGTAGTGGATCCGCCATCTTGAATTTTCAATTTGAAAAACAGTTTACGACCGATTCTCAGACCTACTAAACAATCAGACAAAATCATGAGAATCGGTCAAGCGGTTTCGGAGGAGTTTGGCAACAAACACCGTGACACGGGAATTTTATATACAGGGTGTTCCATTGGGAAACGGAAAAACTTCAACGGTGGGTAGAACTCATCAAGGTGGTTCTGAATATACCATATTTGTAGGGTCTCACAAGTTTTATATCCGAGATATAGGGTGTTTTATCAATTTTGCCCAATTCTTTGTGAGGACATAACTTACGAATCACTTAGTATATTCTTTTGCAATTTGGTACACTATTCCTTCTTTTTCCACCAAAGCGACTCACCTATCAGTCACGAAAAAAATCCAGGTCCGGATTAACAAAAGTTGATAACATTTCTGGACACCAAAAGGAACACCCTGTATTTACGAATTCTCAAAATCCGTATACATATTTGAAAAGTGCACAAAAAGCTGAACCGAATGGTATACTTGTCATTTTCTCGCATGCAATTTCACTAAGGAATTTCTGATTTTGAATTCGAGGTTTTATGCAATGGGATAGGTAAAAATGATATGTTTTGAGTTTTCCCAATCGAATAATATTCTCACGAACCACCTAGTATATTTTTTTGAAATTTGGTACACGAGTTCTTCTTGATCTACCCAGGCCTCTCACCTATCATCCACAAAAAATACCAGGTCAGGATTAACAAAAATTGATTATATTTCTGGGCCTCAAAAAGAACACCCTGTATTTTCTAATTTCCATAATATGCTTACATATTTGAAAATTGCACAAAAAGCTGAATCGGATCGTCTACTTCTTATTTTCATACGGATGCTATTTCACCACTGAATTTCTGATCTTGAAATTGAGGTTTTATGCATTTGAATAGGTAGAAATCGAGGTTAAATGGAAAGTTTCGAGTTTTCAGAATCAGAAATTAATTAGTGAAAGAGGATGTGGAATATTGAAAAGAACACAATTCGATTCATCTCTTTGTGAACTCTTCAAATATGGAACCGGATTTTGGAAATTCGAAAATACTGGGTGTTCTTTTTCGGGCCCAGAAGATCATAATTTTTCGTTAATCCGGACCTGGATTTCCATCGTGACTGATAGGTGAGTCGCTGGGGTAGAAGAAGGAGGACTTGTGTACCAAATTCCAAAAGAATATACTGGGTGATTCGTGATAGTTTTTGTTATTCGATTGGGAAAACCCAAAACATTTCATTTTTACTTATCCGAATGCATGAAACCTCATATTCAAAATCAGAAATTACCTAGTGAAATAGCATGCGGAAGAATGGAAAGTACATCGAACGATTCAGATTTTCATGCACTTTCCAAATATGTGAGCGGATTTTGGAAATTCGAAAATACAGGGTGATATTTTTGGGGTCCAGATATATGATCAATTTTCGTTGATCCGGTCCTGGATGTTTCTCGTGACTGAAAGGTGAGTCGCTTTGGTAGAGGAAGGCAACATTGTGTACTAAATTCCAAATGAATATACTTGGTGGTTCGTAAGATATGTCCTCACAAAGAATAAAACACCCTATATCTCGGATATAAAACTTGCGAGACCCTACAAATATGGTATGTTCAGAACCACCTTGATGAGCTTTACCCACTGTTGACGTTTTTCCTTTTCCCAATGGGACACCCTGTATAACGTGACTAAAGTAAGGTTGCACAGCATGGGGATCTCGGAGACGGGAAGAGATACGAATTCGGTTAAATGGAAAAAAGTTGCGCATTCAGAGGGTCATACCGACGGCCTTCGAAAATTCTCAAATTTGTTCATAGTTTTTCAGTTATATCGAAAAAAGTGAATTTTTGGAAAATCTTTTTTTTTTACGTTATTATTAGAGATACAGGCAAATTAAAAATGCTCTTCCATAGCAAGTTTTCATGAGATTTAACGTGGTGATATTGATTTCCCAACGCGACGCTTCGTATTCGTAGCATCATCAACTTTTTTTTTCCAAATAGGGTTGGTCCTGATTATACAGGGTGGATTTGGAGGAAAGTGTAGGTGTTATACACCCAACTCAATTATGTGAAATGAACTTTTCCAGCTATTACCAGAGGCGTACGACAGGGGCAACTAACTGGTTGATCCCTCCCACTGACGGAATTGCAATTCTATCACAAATTTTCGATTCTCCAACAATTTTGACGTAGATATTGTACTCTTTCTCCATGGCGATAAAGTCATCATTTTTCTACATATTTCAAAAACATAAATCTGCACAATCATTTTGATTTCAATGTGCATTAATTTTGTCAATATGGTGGATCAATGGATTGTATTCATCAATAAAATGAACCTTCAATCCATATTAACAATAAAAACATGATTACATAACAGACAGGAGCTGTTACAGGGTGTTTAATTATGTAATATATTGAAAAAATTAAACAATGTAACAGCTCCCGTCTGTTATGTTTTTATGTTAATATGGATTGGAGTTTCATTTGATTGATGAATGGAGTCCATTGATCCCAAATATCGACATTATTGATACACATCAAAATCAAAATAATTGTGCTGCTTCATGTTTAACTTGAAATATCACGAAAAATAATTACTTTATCGCTATGAAGAAAGAGTACAATATTTACGAAGAAGGTATTGAAGAATAGAAAAATTCTGATGAAATTGCAATTCCGCCAGTGGCGTAGAATTTGAGAAGGATCAACCAGTCACTTGCCCCTGTCGTACGCCTCTGGTAATAGCTAGAAAAGTTAATTTAACATAATTCAGTTGGGCATATAATACCTACACTTCCCTACGAATATGGAAGTGATATGTCAAATAGTTTTGAAGAACTGGGCAAAAAACATTTCAAAATTTTTGAATGAAACGCCCTGTAACTCAGTCAGGAGACATATTTTATCTAGGTGATTTGGGTTAAATGTTCATATTTTGAGTTCGGGATTCTATGGTTGAAATATTTCCAATTAGTATGTTCACAGATTCTGAGAGCATTCTTCATTCTGAATTCAACCTTGTACTCAATGTTTTCTCGAAATACCAAAGAGGAAATACCATCAGTTCCACTTATTTTTGATTATTCAGTGTAAAATATTGATGGAGTAGTTATTTAATACTGAAAAGTTAGTAAATATAACTTCCTAAATTATCCACTGCAGCACTTCAAGTTGTTCAATGTTAATAGATTCTTGATAACTAAACTTATTTTACGGTCCCTTGGCATCGCTGGATTTCAATGAGGGGATACGATACAAATTCACCATCTTGTAGTACATGGTTGAATTCAGAATAAAAAAGGGTTTCAGAATTGATGAGCACAATAACAGGATAGTATTTGGAAAAAGTTGATGATTCTATGAATACAAAATGTCGCCAGAAGAAATCAATATCACTACATTGTATCTCAAATCTACATCAAAAGTTGCAGTGGAGAAGTATTTTCGGTGTCTCTGTATCTCTAATAATGCAGAAAAAGAATACAAATTTTCAAAAAATTCACGTTGATATGACCATCTGAATGCGCAACTTTTTTCCCAACTTTATCTTGGTCACACTGTATTAGAAGATTGACATTTACCAAACTATAGAAAAGAACATGACTTGAATGATAGTAATCAGTTGATTTTTTGTCTTACAGGTGTCAGACCTGCAACACCACAGACAGGAATGCTATCTGTGTGAACTGTATCAAAACTTGCCATGCTGGACATGACGTCGAGTTTATCAGGCATGACAGGTCAGTCATTTTGTTTCTCGTAAAAATATCAATTCACGATAGAAAATAACACGTCGCTCCACCTGACGGCAACATCTTGAACACTGCTGAGCGGTTTGTTTTGATGATATGACCAATAATAATAATAACATTTATTGATCCCAAGAAACATACAATGTTTATAGAGGGAAACAACCGAAAAAATTAAATAAAATCAAATATGCAATACAATGAAAGATAAACAGTTCAATCAGAATTAATTGATACAAAAAAACAAAGGTGAACCAATAATTTGGGACCATCACTTTTTACCTTCTTTGTAAATAGATTGCCCAAATGTATTGAACATTCCTCAAGTCTATTGTTTGCGGATGATTTCAAGATCTTTAGGCCAATTACTACGGCTATATTCCGAATTCAACTGACAGTACTGAATCTGCTGATTTTCCATTCCGAAATCAAAAAATTCACTGGAAGTGACAGATGCTTGTCAGCAGACATACTATTCATTCCAAATATTTCGACTCAACATTCTGCTGGAATTGCTGAGTATCAAAAGCTAGTGTGGCTTCAGTGGCTATATTCCGAATTCAACTGGTCAGTACTGTCAGCAGATCCACTGACTCTGCTGAAAATATGTGTTCCGAAATATAAAATCAAAAATACAGTGCTTCAATTCGGAACACGTTTTCATGGTTTTCATCAGTAGTCAGCAGCAGTTGATCAGCTGGTGAAATTTTTCAGTATGTAGTATCTCGTTTATCTGAACTAGATTATTTTGCCTCCTGCTTGACATACATTTTGGAAATATAATATTTAACATGAAAGAACAATCGGTTCTTGTAGCCTTCATAGTTTCTTCGATTGTTGACGATGACTGACGATTCAAGCTCGAGTGATGATGATTCTTGGACATTTATGTAATATGGCATCAATGATGATGAATTCAGGAAACATTTTAGGTTTATTCAGATATTCATTTACCCAATGCTGCTTCTTCTTTCGTTTCCTCTCTTCTACTTCATACTCTATATTATAATCTTTATATTATATTCTCAGCGTTTATTATTTCGATAACAGGTATTTTCTGATATTGAAAATAATATAATTAACAACGGAAATAAATGTTACATTCCTTCCCCCTCTAAAATAATGACAGTTTACTGAAGCCACACTACCTTTTGATACTCAGCAATTTCAGCAGAATGTTGAGTCGAAATATTTGGAATGAATAGTATATCTGCTCACAAGCATCTGTCACATTTAGTGATTTCTTTGATTTCGGAATGAAAAATCAGTAGATTCAGTACTGTCAGTTGAATTCGGAATATAGCCAGTGAACTGTCATATTATTGAGGGAGAAGGAATGTAACATTCATTTCCGTTGTTAATGAAATGATTCTCAATATCAGAAAATACCTGGAATATGAAGTAGTAGAGCAGGTAAGGAAAGGAGCAGCATTGGCTAAATAAACTAAATAAACCTGGAATGTCTCCTAAAATTAGTCATTATTTAGGCATATTGCGATTTTCATAAATCTCAATTCTCAATCTGGTGCATCATGAGAAATTTATGGCAACAAAATGTCCAAGTATTCTTCATCACTCGAGCTTGAATCGCCATCGTCAACAATCGTAGAAACTATAGAGGATACAAGAATGGATTTCTCTTCCATGTTAAATATTAAATTCCCAAAATTTATAACAAGTAGGAGGCTAAACATCTAGTTCAGATAAACGAGAAACTACTAATGATGAAAACCATGAAAACGTGTCCCGAATTACAGTAGTGAATTTTTGATTTTATATTTCGGAATACAGATTTTCAGCAGAGTCAGTGGATCAACTGACAGTACTGACCAGTTGAATTCGGAATATAGCCTACATCGATGGACTGCCTTCTTTAGCAGAATGATATCAACTCAATGTCTACATGGTTTGATCAAAATAAAATGACTCAACATTGATAAATGCGAAGCCATAACTTCTACCCCTAAACATGAATTCATTAGAAATACTTATATTATAAAGGGCGCTGAACTTCCTAGGAAAAATGAGTGTAAGGATCTGGGAGTTTATTTGCAATCTAACCTAAAATATAACACACATCTTGGTTTTGTTATTAGAAATACAAAATTCTTTGGAAAAGTTAGCTCTATCATCAAACTTCACAATGCATTAGTGAGACCGCATCTTGAATATGCTTCAATAATATGGTCTCCCAAGGCTGAAGTGAATATAAACCTTATTGAAAAAGTCAAGAAAAGGTTACTACGATACTTGTATGTACGACAACATAATGCATACCCCTATATGATCTCATATGCTAGATAGTTTCCTTATGGTAACCCTAGAACAGAGACGTACATTCCATGCTGTGCTATTCATTTATTATATAATCAATAGTATAAAATACGAAGATTCATTCCTAGTCAACTTCATAAAAATATTAGTACCTAAAGTTAATTAAAGAATATATAACTAGAAATTTTTTTATTCAAGTCATCTAGATTGTTCTATGAATGAAATGCTACAACAATGTAATATATTTGCAGAAAGGTGCAATATTGACTTTCTCAACTGTAATTTGAATGAAATAAAATCAGCAGTATTCATTATTGAATGTGTTTTATAGTATCTCTGTGTAGTTTTCAAGTTTTGTTTTCTAATTTAGCTCTATTGGTGAATTCATGCACGACTTAACTTAGTCCTCACTTAAGACCTAACTTAATATTGCCTTAAAATTATCCATAGGTGTTCATACAAAACTTAACGTAAATATTTACACAATACATGTGCAGAATCATGTATTTGGGATCTGCTTTGTTGTAAATGAAGGAGTACTGCTGTACTAAACTGATGAGGTCACTGTCGTCAACCATAATGCTATAATAGATATTTACGTAATCAGTTAGGAAACGCGTTGTTTTGTGTAACGATGGGATTTTGCGGGACGAGCGAAGCGAGATCCCGCAACATCACAGAGTTACACAAAATGGCATTTCCTAACGTGTCACGTACAATATTTTTTCTAATTTTGACGAAACATTTCGCATGAACAAAAATAATGACCAGTTTTACGTGAGTTCTGCCGACTCTTGTTGTGTGAAATGAATGAATGAAATGAACATTACATCACCAGTTATGTAAAATTTTACTTTACGCAACTGGTTACGTAAAGTAAGACGTTTCAAAACTTCCGTCAGTTTTGAAAAGTGTCACATTACATGTCAAAATTAGAAAAACAAAATGACAATATTTTAAACATTTTGAAAACTTAGTTGAAAGTTTGAGCAGAGTGTTTGAGGTTATGGACAATATCTGTTGGCATCAATGCTTGACCATGCGCAGTACGCGATTTGCACGAAGAAATATGAAATAAATTGAAAGTTGGTCAACTTATGACTTTCTTAAGTTACACTCAAATCCTCAAGTTGCGTGCATGAACGTTATCATCGATTATTCGAATTTCAACTTCTTAAAGTTAGGGTTAAGTTAAGTTAGGACTAAGTTTTGTCGTGCATGAATTCGCCATAAGTCTGTGTTTTGAAGCACTATCTCTTATACAGGGTGAGTCAAAAATGTGTACCGAGCTTTCTGGGGGTGATAGAACATTGAAAAATAAGTGTAGTTTGATGATTAAACTCTTGGCCCAAAATGAATATTAAGGGAGATATATCCTTCCAAAGTTGATAAAACTAAAATAATTTCTCCGAAAGCCACCCGATTGAAATTTTGTGCATGAATGTATGTTGTCAAAATACATTTTTTCGTCACACTTCCACATTTCTGATATTGTTATAAAGGATGTTTTCAGAGGGTGAGTCATGATTTTTTGTAGAAAATTTTTTCCCTGTATTATTCTCGGTGAAAAAACAGGAGCATTTGATGGAGCGAAGAAAATTACATGAAAAAGGTACTCTTATTCAAATACAAAAAATTGAGCCGTTCGTGAGATATTTGAGTTTTTCTAGTTACATGATATCAGCAGATTGATTTTATTCATCGCGAGATTCATCGGTAACAATATTTTAGCAGGCTATGAGAATAATTTTGTTCTCAATTTTGACGTTCATGTCATCAACATTCGAGTCAACATTGTTGTAGTTGATTTGTTCGTGTGGTTTTTCTGTGTCATTTATCACTGCGATTATCAACTGAGATTTTAAGAAATATGGCAGGTTATTCGTTCTCTGAACAAACTGATATGCTTCTAATGCTTGGCGAGTGCTTCGGAAATGCAAATGCTGCTGTGAGACGATATGCAGAGATGTTTCCCGCTCGACGCGTTCCGAATTCGAGAACAATTTTGAGGATTGTACAAAGACTGCGTGAAACAGGATGTTTGAAAACCAATAATAGAAATGGTGGCCGACCCAGAAGTGCGAGAACTGTAGAAGTTGAAGAAGAAGTATTAAATACTGTGGAACAGGATCCGGAAATAAGTACAAGGACATTAGCAAGACGAATAGACACAACACAAGCGAATGTAACCAGGATTCTCAGAGAGCAACAGCTACACCCTTATCATTATTTGCAGGTACCGTAGAATGGGGTGACTTGAAATCGTGTGGTGACTTGAAATATAATGCAGTGAAAATTTTGAAGTAGTGGCAACGTCGCATGTCAACGGAAGAAGCTAAACTAGTCTTTCAGTCTAATGATTTTTTGTTTATTTTTGTAGTTTTTTATCTTTTTTGTATTTTGCTAAAAAATATTTGTTCTAAAACACAGTGTTTTTTTATGAAATTGATGATTTCTATATATTTTTTATTTAATTTTCATTTCATGTCACCACCTAGACCATCCTACTTGAAATAATCGTTGATAAGAAGTCATATTTCAAGTCACCCCATATTGGGGTGACTTGAAATATGACGTTTGACATTTTTTTTTTTCGAAAACTACACTATATAGAAACGGTTTTAATGTATCGTTCTGTTCTTTAGGGTCGAAAGAGTTGGTGACTATTTTTAGTTTGGTTGAAAGTTGCATGGTAAGGTCGCAATCTATGGAAGTGTGTCAAAAATCTTATCAAGTCACCCCATTCTACGGTACAAGAACTGTTACCACGAGACAATGAAATAAGATTGAGATTTTGCGAAGAGTTGCTGGAACGAACTCGAAGATGTCTTGAGTTTTTAAACAAAATATTGTTCACAGACGAAGCAACTCTTACTAGAAACGGTGTTTTCAATTCGCGCAACACTCATTTCTGGGCTGACGAAAATCCACACGTTGTTAAAGTAACGCATTTTCAATATAATTTCAAAGTGAACGTCTCGGCTGCGACTTTAGGCGACAAATTCGTTGGATACTACATGTTCCCAGGGTCTCTGAATGGTGCAATGTACCTCAACTTCTTAGAAAATGAGTTAGGTACGATATTAGAAGACATTCCTCTCAACATACGTAGGGAAATCTGCTTTATGCATGATGGAGCACCACCTCATTATGTAAGAGTTGTACGTGAATGGCTTAATGATAATTTTCCTGATAGGTGGATAGGACGAGGCATAGACGCTCCTATTTCCTGGTCCGCTCGTTCGCCTGACCTCAATCCAATAGATTTTTCGAACTGGGGTTACATGAAATCTAGGGTTTTTTCAAGCGAAATTCGGAATGTTGAGGAGCTAAGGCAAGAAATTGTGAACGAATTTACGTTGTTGAAAAATGATCACCAAACTATGAACGGTTTGATGAATAATTTACGTAAACGCCTCAGATTATGTATAACCGAAAACGGTGGACATTTCGAACAGCTACTTTAATTTGTTTTTTTCCTTTTTCTTCCATTCAAAATTATGTATTAATTAAAAGTACCAAAAACATTATCAAACTTTTATTTTTATTCATACCTTGTTGGGACAGACTTATGCTATGTACTTATTGCTCAGTAACGTGGCACAGGGAGGTGATATTATCGACAAAATTAAAAACAAAATTGTTCATGGCCTGCTGAAATATCGTTAAACCGATGAATCTCGCGATGAATAAAATCAATCTGCTGATATCATGTAACTACAAAAACTCAAATATCTCACGAACGGCTCAATTTTTTGTATTTGAATAAGAGTACCTTTTCCATGTAATTTTCTTCGCTCCATCAAATGCTCCTGTTTTTTCACCGAAAATAATACAGGGAAAAAAGTTTTCTACAAAAAATCATGACTCACCCTCTGAAAACACCCTTTATAACAATATCAGAAATGTGGAAGTGTGACGAAAAAATGTATTTTGACAACATACATTCATGCACAAAATTTCAATCGGGTGGCTTTCATCGTTCAGAAGTTATGCGGAGAAATAATTTTAATTTTATCAACTTTGGAAGGATATATCTCCCTAAATATGCATTTTGGGCCATGAGTTTAATCATCAAACTACACTTATTTTTCAATGTTCTATCACCCCCAGAAAGTTCGGTACACATTTTTGACTCACCCTGTATGTAAATACTCCTGGCTGTGTTTGTAAAAGGGAAATCTTAAATAAAATAAATGAAATGAAAACAAAGTAAACAGGCCGCTTTGACAGCTTTCAAGTCCTCCGATAGGTGGCGTACGCTTATTTTCTATCGCGAATATCGAACGTATGTGTGCCCATTCCAGATTCTTCTGCGACTGCGGCGCCGGTACGCTGACCAATCAGTGCCAGCTGCAAGGCGAGCCCACCCAGGATACCGACACCCTGTACGACTCGGCCGCCCCCATGGAGTCGCACACACTTATGGTGAACTAGACGCTGCCCCGTATTCGTACCCCGCAACCGTACTATGAAATTTTGTGTGAAAACGCCTCGGAACGGACCGAGAGACGATATCGAGAGTGCTTAGACGTTCGCGTGTTTCGCCGCTGTTCGGGCGGACTGCGTCGACTCGCTATGGGCGGACCAATGAACTTAAGATAAACAACTGGAAGGGACCCTCTGTGAACGACGAGTGAGGCAAAAATATTGTTCAGGCAACCCGCAGTGTTTACGGATACCTATCTCTCTCTTATGTTTGCTAATGGGAAGCGCTCGCATTATTTGAAATATTTTCTCGTTTTTTGCTTTTATTCAGGAGTAAACGTGATTAAATTAAAATATTCATTTCGGAAAAGGAAAATTTTGCAATTATCATGAAAATAATAGTTATTTGTTTAACTAGGCAGCAAAGTAGTAGATTGACTGCCGAGGCTGAATTCATAGCCGAGCGTAGCGAGGCTAGGATTTCAGCTAAGGCAGTCAATCTACTTTGCTGCCGAGTTGAACATATAATTTTTTCTCCGATTGTTCATAATGATATAGGAGGATATTGTATTTGCAAATTATTACAATTCTCACAATCTCTTTATTTTTCCTGTAGTGTTCAATTAAAATAAAATTTGATAGAAATCGCAGTTGTTGGAATGGTTGGTTGCTATGGAAATGTCCATAATAATTATAGTTTGACAATTCATGACATTTCTGACAGTTGTGCGAAAAAACATCGGTATATTTAAATTATTATATAATGTACAGTGATAGCGACCTGGAAGTACCTACTTACTCCTCCAAAAATAAGGGAGGTGGCTAAAAATATAGAGTTGAATTTGTTGCCGGAGAAGTCTCGGATGAAATATGAAGGAAATTATAAACGATTTATGGATTATTAATTTTGCTGACACATATCAATCAGCAAAGTAACCATTTTGCTGCCTAGGCAGCAAAGTACCCACTTTGCTGCCTAGGCAGGAAAAGTAATACTTTGCTGATTGATATGTGTCAGCAAAATTAATATTTGCTGCCAATCGGAGAAAAAAATTATTATTGATTTTTTTATTGACTTAAAAATTTCATTTTTATTCCTGAAGGATTAGGAAGTCAAATAAACACAAAATTGAAATTATATATTTTCATTCAAATGTCACAATATATTGTACAGGTTGAGCGAAGCACAATGTCTTAGCACTATCAGAAGAAAAAGAAAAACGCTAGGAAAAATGTTAAAAGAGGTTCTTGAATGGTATTGACTACCTGAGGTCCATTTTGAGCATAATTTCCATAGGTTCCTATTTCACCATTAGGTCACTGCCTACAAACATATCCCTATTAGAAATTATAAAAATACAATTGTCAATACAATATCCTTCTCCAATGGAACAGTTTGGGTTTCATTATTGATGAACTTCGAAACTTGGGAGCTGGAAGTCATAGGTAAAGTCCATAATATGAGAAACATCTTCCTTAGGACCCAATATTATGAACTTCCACAGATGCATCCTGAAAATAAATTACTTGCCAGTTTTTTATTTTAAAGAAGTGCAAACATACTTTTTTTTTTCATTGTTAATCAACTAGGTACCTATGAGTATTCTTATTTTCCTTCAAGGATCAGTATTTTTTGGTAACAAATGCTTAGGAAATGGAAATATACTGGGTACAGCATATATCTGGTTTCAATAACCTAGCAGTACCTGGTATGTCTAAATAAATAATCAGTTGGCAGGAAATGCTCTCCACAAAGCTTGCTGGTTTAAGATGGAGTCCAACTCTCTCTATAAACTGCCTTTAATCCATAATTCAAGAATGTCTGAAAGGAAAACTGCAACAAATAATATTACTTAATATGTTTATGGAAAAGTCATGGAAGTATTTAACTTTGACAAATAATATAGGTATAGTTTTTGAACTTATTTTGGGACTGGGAACATTGTACACCTAACTGATGATCATTTCAAGAACTATATTTTCAAAAAATCTGAACAATATTCAACTTGCCCATGGAATGACAATTTCCTTTTGTCTTGCTCGTTCATGCATCCAAAGGCGACATATTGAATCACCATTCGTTCATCAAAACCTCAACAATCAGTTCAGAGCTCACACCAACAAATTCAGTCATTTTTATAAAACAAAACACGCCAAAGGAATAGATATTTCACATAAACAAAGACAATGAACTTATATCATCACTTTCTTGCCTGTTTAGATGAGAGAAAAAATCTAAAGTAGTTCAATTATTAGAAAAAAGAAAACGTAAACACCAATCCACCATTTAACAACACGAGTAGGAAAGAGACAGGTTACCGTAAATCATGCTATCTTTGTTGCAGCTGCCCCTGACACACTTTGTGCTATTCGAGAAAACAGCCGTCTCCCTTCCAGTTGTTTATATCGAGTTCATTGGGGCGGACTACGTCGACTCGCGATGGGCGGGCGCGGTATGTTCGGGCGGTCTCGGCGGGAAAACGCAAGGTATATCGTCACGTGTGGGTTTTGTACTCGTTTTGAAGGGCGAGGTTGCCACATTTGCCTCCTCCGGCTCCTCGTCGCACATGCTTCATCTGAACATCGACAGTCTCAACGAGAAAATGTTCTCAACTATTCTTTGAGTCATGATATCTGCATTTGGACATATCTGCGGCTCGTGGCACATGCTTCATCTGAACATCGACAGTCTTCAACGAGAATATATAGCCAAATTGATCGCCCTGTAACCTGGTGAAATTCCAACCAAACCGTAGATTTATGTTTCAAAATGTCAACCAGAAATTTTGTTCCAAAAAAAAAATCGCTCGATCGTTATACAGGGGTAAACAAAAGTTAATATTTCACGCTTCACTTCTTAACGCCCTGTGGCAAAAGGGAGTGATTAAACTAAGCTTCCCTAGTTTTTGGTTCACATCAATATTTCCTTTTTAAGAGGAGATACAAGTGTTTTAATAAAGTAATTCTAAATTTTGTAGTTCATACATGAACTTATTAATTAACAACTCTAAAAAACATCTAAAAATTGATATCACTGATTTCTTCTTCGTCTTTTTAGCACTCACCAGCATAGAGAAACCTTAATTTCAAAGAAGAAACGAAAAATAGACCTATATGTAGTCACCCAGTTGATCAAAAGCAGGCTTGAAAAATTGTCTAAAATTTTTTTTGAAGGGCGAATAATAGCACTAAAGTGTCTCTGAAGAGGCCGGACGAAATCAAATAAACTTCTGGATTTAATCCCAAAGATGTGCTTAAAAAATTCCATACTTGCTTTGAACTCTTGTATATTCTCTTGAGAATATAAATATATATATATAGACGTGAATCAAGAACCATTGTATCAAGAAGGACGAAAGGGGATCATACTCCAAATCTAAAATTTTAATAACAATTAGACAATTCAATATGTTCTTCAAACACTTGTATCTTCTCTCAAAAAGAAGATATTGACGTGAATAAAAAAAAATCAGGCTAACACTACGAAATATAAATCTACGATTTGGTCGAAATTCAACCAGAATCTGTCAAGAATTGAAGAAGTTACGGGACGATCATTTTGGCATTGCTGGCCGGTTTTTTCCTTGCCGGTGAGTGTATGTTCATGTTGAATGACTCTTTAGCATGACAAATGATAATACGATTACGGTGATGAACCTATTCTTTGAGTTATTATATCCGTATTTGGACTTGACTTCTCTATTGATTTTTGGCGCCCAACGTGCGGCTGATCATTTATGGCGCCCAACGTGCGGCTAATCATTTATGGCGCCCAACTTGCGGAATTTTTGAATTCAACGCAGGCTTTCGATTATCTTTAGCATAAGGAAATGTTTCAAGCATATTCTTCCGTATCTAATGCCAACAAGAACAGTGAAGAGTTTCGGTGCCCAACGAGCGTTTTTCATTTCAGACTTATTGAATGTGAATAAGTATGGTCTAGTTTCCTCTCAGCTGAATGAAATATTGACCATTTCTATAGTTATTGGACTCATCTGTAGGTGATATTTTACAAGAAAATGTTCATCACTTCCTACTTCAAATAGTTCATTTGACTGACACCTCATCATATCAGTGGACTTTCAGTAATGACAATCATTACTATGGAGGGGTTATGATTTCTGTTGAGAATTATAAACTCTCACGCGTTTTTAGTGCCCAACATGCAGTTAAGTTTAATTTTTGGCACCCAATGAGTGTTGTTGCAGACTTGTTGATTGTAAAATTAGTTGGGATATTGGGATGTTTAATTTTTGCTAAATTATTGTTTTGAACATGTCTATCATTATTGATCCGGTATAACTCCCCTCTTCAAATGGCTCCCCTTACATGTGATAGTAAATGAATCCTAAATTTTGTGCATAAAAAATTAGTAACAGAACGCTCAAAGTGAGATATCAGACTTGTTGAATTTGATTTTGTATCTATTGTTGTTGAGTTCATCTGTATCTGATGATTACTACGCTCATCAAAATAGAAATGAGTTTCTGACTTTTAGGTGCCCAACATGCGGCATGTTATCTTTTTTGGCGCCCAACGAGAGGGGTTTGTAGATTTTTCTCAAATTTCGTACACGTGTAGCTTGTTTGTGGACTGGTTTCAACCCATCTAACAGGGTTGGTAGAAGTAATGATTATTTGTAGAGGAAGATTTCCTGGACGCGATGAGGGAATGTAGTAATTAGTTCACATAATAAATGCCATGTTGGCTTCATAGAAATGTATGCATAATAATTGTAGATCAGAATTGGATAGCTGAATCTACTTGAAGGCAGTTGTAGAATATAGATTTCTATGACTTCAAAATGGAATTTTTGATGGGATTACATCACACATCCTCTACAGAGAATCATCAATTCTACAAAACTTGCCATTTACGTTGTTCTTATCAAATTATACTGTTTCTCACTGTTCCACTGATCGAATACCTTGTGTTTTCCAATGAACGATAAACTCCAAACTTGAAAAAATTATCAGTGTTCGTTGTTGTGAAAAATGCTTAGCAATATA